GTACCCTAGCTATTAAAACACATTTATGAATACTTAAACAGTTATGTTTTACATACATATCTTGGTTTTTAAACTTGAAATATCTTTTAAATCTTTTCCCCTTTAATAATAACAACAAACACACTGTTGTGAAATAGTGGCCTTGTAACATACCAGTTTAATTTTAAAATTTGTTGATTTTTTTTAAGTTGATCTCTGTGTAGGGTGCTGAATTGGGAGGGAAGACTGGTCATCTTAAATCTGCATGAGACTGTATTTTGAACTTTTCCTGACTCAATAAGATCTTGCAATCTCAGAGTTTTGCTTTCCAGCTATTTGAACTAATTAATGAGAGAGACTTTTACCAAACAGTTACAGAAAGAAGCAAAAGGAGACTCTTCATGAAAATAGACCTTAAAAAAGAGTCCTGGTCTGATTATCACTGAGGCCCAGATTCAGCAATAATATATATTAAGTATGTTTTATCTGCTGCTGGAGGAAATCATCAATTATAATTAGGATGCAAAACAATATGTATCAATTTGACATGTTCAGAGCTTGATAAATGCCATATAGTAAATAGTAGGCTGTCAATTGATGTGTGTTAATGCCTGCAATTAATGCAGGGAAGGATTAATGTGAATTTTTGTAATGCGTTAATCACAGGCGTTAATGCTGTGCTGCCCCTTTGAAGCGCTGCTCTGGCGTTTCAAAAAGGCAGCACATTAGGCGTGCCTAGCTGATCCCCGCTCCACTGCCCCTTTGAAGTGCCAATCCGCGAAGCTTCAAATCCCCTAAAAAAGAGTCCTGGGGCAGATTCAAAGGGGCAGTGCTGCCCGGAGCCCGGGGTCAGCTGGGCACTCCAGCTGATAACGGGCTCCTGCGATGCTACCTGTTGGAAATGCCAGGGCAGCATTTGAGGGGCAGCAAGGCATGGAGCCTGGGTCAGGTGGGGACTCCAGCTGAGCTTGGCCTCCCTTGGTGCTGCCCCTTGGAAACGTCAGGGTGGCCTTTCCAAAGGGCAGCTGCACTGTGCCTGGGGTCAGCTTAGGACTCCAATTGATCCCGGGCTTCCGCAGTGCTGCCCCTTTGAACTGCTGGGCTTCCACAGCGCTGCCCCTTTGAAACGCTTCCATAGTGTTTCAAAGGGGCAGTGCATGCAATTAATTGCGCGATTAATCATTATTCAATTTTTTAACAGCTTGAGTAAATACCAAAACTTTCCCCTTTCCAGGCAAAATCTAAAAAACTATTTATGAATTTTGCCAGCATAAGAGGTCTCTTAGTTGGCATAATGTGACATAGCTATACCAACTGAGCCCTAGCACAGGGGTGCTGGTGGTAGGACAAAGGTTACCTGAAATACAGGAATTCACAACCAACATGGTCATAACCAGTTAGTATAAATGAAAGTGGTTCCTTAACTGCTCCAATAGGGCATGTCTACACTAGGAAATTATTTCAAAATAACTCCTGAAATAACTAGTTCAAAATTAAGTTTATTCCATAAGGAAAGCTCAAGCAGTTATTTCAAAATAACCAGCACCTTATTTCGAAATCATGGGCTTGGTAGCATGGACACTGTGCTTGCTATTTCAAAATAAGGGGTTATTTCGAAATAACTCCCTAGTGTAGACTAGGACATATATACTGATGGACCAGGGCCAATGCAACTATCTCATTCTTGTGCTCCCACATCTCATGTCTTATATGCTTATTGTAAACACCTAATCCACAACTAAGCATTCTAGTGCTATGGTAATACAAATAAATAACAGTTAATAATAAATGCACCATGAGAATTAAAGTCATCTAACTTATTCCCCTTTTCTCCAGCAATACACATATCTTTGCACAGGGGCCAATTTGCAGAATAATATCCCTTGCCTTATAGTATTGTGGACACTTAGTTTAGGCAATTTGAGACTACTTAGCATTGCAGAAACAGCCTATGATAGTATAAAATAGGCACAGAGTGAAATATGTGTATGAAACAAGAGGATGTACTTTGTCATTACCCAGGAATTGTGAGGAAGATCCATGAGGAAATTGATAGGGTGGGGGCAAAAACTACACATGTCTAAGTCACAAATTAGGCTTTCAAGGTTTCCAATGAGATGTAGACTTAAACCTAAATTGACGTACTGAATCCAATTACTATTATTTTTCAAATGCAGTATATTTCCCATGTATAATTGTAATTTGAATAATGCTATTGCTATTCAATGGTAAATTTACATTGTTGCAGTATGCTAAATTAATCAAAGGTGGTGGGTTAGGTTTCCAAATGTTCATTAGAATAGGGAAAATGGGCTCACTATTATTTTAGTTGTACTGATCCCTTTGATTTACATGTTAAAGCCCCAGCAAACCACATTATAAAAATTAGTGAGCAGCTGCAGCTGGAATTTTTTATGGGTTCATTCTTCCAAGGGGCTACATTTTATCAAAGAAGCTATCCTTCATCAAATAAAGGTACGTATTAAATACCCGGGTTTCCCAACTATTTCCAAAATATCTACCCTTTCCATTTATGTGGGTTAGATATACTGTCTGAAAATTGAGGAAGAGTCACTGTGTGCAGAAGACAACATAAGAACATAGCCAGTTGAAAGGCATTCATTAAAGAAAATGTAAATAACTTTAGCAAGGGGCAAACACCAAATGGTATCCTTGACATAGAGTGACTTTGATTCCTCTCCTCTCCATTTGTAAAACTTTTGAATACCTAATATTTTTATGGCATTTAAAGCCTGTTTCATGACTTTGATGCACAATTTGCATGCATGATTTATCACCATCATATAAGATTCCAAAATGGTCTAGAACATTCTAGAAGGTTAGTGAAAAAGGAATCCACATATGGAATACCTGACACCTTTTACTTTGAACATTCTGTTTTCCCTGTTGTCACTCTCCGAGCCCAGCACTAGGCAATCCTCTGGATCAGCTGCCCCTAACTCTGGTCCTGTCTCCAAGTTATACTTGTGGAGCGTTTCCTTCCCACATGACACACTTCATGTGCAAGGAATAGCCTTGCACAACACTGACTTCAAGTTTCCAAAGATCCCTTGGAGAGGGCTTGTTTGAGATCAGGATCCATGGCAGAAGAAGCAGATGGGTGGCCCAAACCTGGGTATGGCTATATTTCTACCAGCCTTGAAAACTGCTAAAGGAAATGATACAGTATCAGGGTTTATTGTCCATCTTCTAAAGGTGAGATCCTCCAGTGTAGATATGAACACGGAGATTCTCAGTTTCCTTTGCTATAGTAGTGCTGCACTGCAGTGGAGGAGGGCTATGGAGTGAGATCTCTCTCCCACTGATTCCTCAGGATCCATGAGATTCAGAGGCAGTTCCAGCAGTTGGTTTCAAATGGGGGAAAGCAAGGAGTGGAGCAGGATTCCCTTCCTGACCACCCAATAAAACGACATGAGGGAATTTTTACTAAAGAAACTTTCTGGAGATGCATTGTCTTTGCAGGATGTAATGTGAGAGCTAGTGACCCAGCCTTTTGTGCTGACCCGTTGAGAATATGTTAAACTGCTAATATTTTTCATTTCTTGGCTCATTGGGTGTTACCCATTGCTATCCACTGGAGTACAATATATAGCTTTGTAGAAACATTATTGATAGGTTTTTATTTTTTAACATTGAAAAGCGTCGCCATAGTATGCATTACACTGGCTGTTGTATATGAATATAAGCTACTGAAATTTTCCTGAAGCGTTAGTGATATTTAGAGGAATGTAACATTTGGAAAGCCATTTCTTCCCTATTCCTCCATCGTATGTATTCTGTCACAGTACAGTCCCAGGCAGACATCTGTACAGCCTGTCAATTTCCTAAAGAAAAAAAGAGCATGTCCTGAGTGTAAATTATGCAAGCTCTGTATTAGCCTCGTGTGGCCCTTAAAAAATTAAACAAAACAAAACCCACAAGATCCATTAGAAACTACTTTAGGTTTTTCATAAGGCTCTTTAATGCTCCGTACCTAATAAAATATGAATCACAATAGGCTTCAGTGTAACAATGAGGATAGGAAATTGAAATAAAAATAGTGAAAATAACTCTCAGCTCTTATGGTATCATGTTTGAGGAATTCAGCATAGTAAATTCATTCATGAGACCTGAGCTAAAAATAAGGAAACAGAGCCTCAGATGATTATACATTAGTGTAACTCTATTTGTCTCAGTTATACTGATTTACTCCAGCTGAGGATCTGGCTGGCTGACCGCATTCTTAATTCAAGGGGGAAAAATTTAAAGAGAGAGAAAATAATTTTCAAAGTGAGGCAGCCATTCACCCAAGGGATAAATTATAAAGGTAAATACTCTTGACTATCAACTGTACCATAACACAAGCGAAAACAAAGAATACAGAAACAAGGTATACTATAGACATATTGCTAAGCTATTGAAATTTCATTTTATCATTGTTCTAATTTTTTTTTCATTCAGCAAATAAGTGTAAAATTAAAATTGATATGTAGAGAAGTTTGAATGGTGGGAGGAAAAAGAGGGGAAATTGCTTTTAATGTTTCAGACTTCTGCCAATCTTAAATTCAGTCATTTTACAATGAAAAGAATCTTTGAATCTTGATTTTTGTTTAAGAGTTCAGTGGTTGGATATTAGGCTGCCATACATTTCCTTACCTCCACTGAAGTCAGTGATCAGTAATGCTGGTTTATACTAGTCAGGGCAAGGGACCAAATCCCTTTCTCCTCATATTGAGATTAATTAGATGGCTTTCAGCTTAATTCATGTAGTATTTTGATAGTTTACAGTGTGCAGTTCTGTCCCTGTGGATGAAAAATTCAAAAAGTGCAGGCCTTTTGAATTTTAGAAAGGAAGATGCTACTGTACCATTTTGCATTTATCTTGGCTTCATATTTATTTGTGACTTGACTAACATCCTAAAGATCGTATCCTATAAAAAGTGAAACCAACATGGTAAAATATTTATGGATTCTTTAATATTTTAGCACCTCTCAGTACTAAAATCATGTTCTTTCCTCAGAACAAAAGCCTGAAGAACAAGCTCCTGTCGGGAAACAAGCTTTGTGGTATCCATGCAGAAGAGGTGAGTACAGTTTCTTACTGTTCTAATCTTAACACACCCAGAGAGAGAAGGAGAATGTTGAGGATTGCCATAAAAAATGTCACACAGGGACTCTGGGCTAGATAATATAGTCATCATGTGTATCTACAGCTAGAGTTCAAAGCATCCATGCTTCTAAAATCTCTCATTTGCTCCCATGATAAAAGTATTACACATACACTAGGAAACAAAACACAAAATACAGATTCTGCCAAATCCCAGGATCCCAAGCACTGATTTTCTCCATTGGCCCTAATATCTAAAAGTAGTAGTAATAACTCTATTGCTTGAATACTTGTAAATAATTCAGAATAAAGCTTTGGATAAATGATTTTTGATGTTGAAGTGTATGATTTAAAAACGCATGCGTTGCACTTTAGCAAATAAAGAATAAGAAATGGTACCTCTGCCAAGGAGCTGGCAATCTCATACAGACAACATTAAAGCCCTGATTCTTCAATCACTTAAACATGTGAATGATTTTACTCACATGAACAGTGTTAGAAAGCTACTAAAGGGTACTACTGCAGTGAGTAAAGTTATACACAGGTTTGAGCAGTGCCCTATAGTTACCAGGTGAAGTCAAACTAGAGAAGCATAAAATAAAGACTCATCAACAATAGGGAACAATTAGACATTGCCAAGAAAATAGACAAGATGATCTAATAATACAACTTTTATTCTGATGAATCTACAAAAGCCAAAGTATATCGATAGAACACCACAGAATTATCACACTTTAAATCAAATACATTTTAATTAAGAAACAGATTTTAAAACGTGTATTTTCAAAGTTATAGAGCTAGATTCATAGCTGGTCTAAATAACCAATTTTCATTTATTTCAACTGAGCTAAACCACTGAAAATCGGCAACACTAAGGTGCAATAGCTTCTTTTCTCTTGCTTTGCTCAAGCTACATCATCATATCTCTTCCTGGTTTACGCTGCAGTGTTTGGTTTTTAATGTAGTTAAATACATTTTTCTTCCTTTTCAGTAATTTTAACATTACTGAATTGTTAAAGCCCTGGACTAAAAGTGTTATTTTTTTTCTTTTCTGCTAATTTCCTCAGGGTTCGTCGCATCTTCAATTTTTAGTACTATTTAACTTCATTTTTTCTATTAGCTTTGCATTTTATTTAAATACATTTTAATGTTTGCAACAAAGCTGTGTATAAACTAGCATGGACATACATTTAAATGGAAAACAGGAAATTTGACTTTCCAATATTTGGTATGAAATCAGTGTCGATGCATATATTGTGAAAAAATCTTGTCTTTGTCCTGGGAGTTTGAATTGATTAGAATCAGAACTGCTTGCAGCCTGTCTCCAAAAATTCACATTGACATAGCTTTCAAGTTAGAGGCCTCTTCAAATACTACCATACATTTTTAAAAGTAAGATATTAAAAAACCCCAACTCCAGTTCTCATCAAAACTCACAGCAGGAGACTCATTGTGAATCATACACATGGAGCTTAAGAAATCTAGCTGTAACATTGCTTCTTATGGACCAGATGGTGCTTTCCTTTTCTGCAGGCACAGGAGAACCTAAAGTGCTGAGAATTGCATTGGTTCCACCTCACAAGGGAAGTTTAGGGATTAAAGGCAGCAAAAGCACTCCAGACCTCCCTTAGTGTGCCATGCAGCTCTGCTTTCTCTAGGACTCCCCAAAGGCGGGGGGAGGCATGGCAGACCATTTTGAAGGAGGGCTGAGGTAATCCAGATTAGCAGGCCTCTGTACAATGATCAGTCTTATTAACAATTGCGCCAGCTAATGTGTTGTAGTTACAGCAGTAGAGAGATTCCCATTAATTTCTATGACTTAAACCAGCGGGAGCAGACTTAATCCACATGTATACTCACATTATTTTCAGATTGATGCACAATATGCAATAGAATTAAATCGGGAGCTAGAAACATAAAAGGTAGCAAGAAAACATCCTACAAATATATTAGAAGGAAGAGGAGGGTAAGAATAGCCCCATTACTCAATGAAGAGAGAAAAACAGTAACAGAAAATGTGGAAATGGCAGAGGTGCTTAAGTTGGACACCTAACGTAGTGGATCCCAGTGAAAATGGAATAGGTTCAGAAGCTGAAATAGGAAAAGAGCAAGTTAAAAATTACGTCAACAACTTGGTGTCTTCAAGGCACCAAGGCCTGATGCAATGCATCCTAGAATATTTAAGGATATATCTAAGCCACTGGCTATTATGCTATAAGCTATAATGGAATATGGAAGAGATTCCAGAAGACTAGAAAAGGGCAAATATAGTACCCATCTATAAGAAGAGGAATAATGACAACCCAGGGAACTACAGACCAGTCATCTTAACTTCTGTACCCAGAAAAGATAATGGAACAAATAATTAAGGAATATATTTGCAAATATCTATAAGATAACACTGCTCTACAGCCAAAATGCTTCTGATATAAATGTAGTCAAACTTTACTAATTCTGGGTCACTGAGAACGAAAATGATGCTTAAAATTGTTGTTTGGCTCTAGTTTTCAAGATATGTTATTGGGTCAGTATATAGACCCTTGACTTGCGAATGGCGCAGGATAAGTGAGTTATAAAAGGAAGGGATCTCAATTTAAACCAGAAATGACTAAAATACACCTTTGACTGGATCTATGAATAAATCTATGACTAGGTTTGGACAGTACTTGCTTTTTAGGCAAAACAATGAATGATGCAATCTGAAGCTGGTATTGTGTCATACATGATATGAATTGCATCATGTTATTCCTAGAAGTCATGGATGATGCAATCATAATGAAGCTTACATCACTCTGCTGAACAAATTGCCCTATATCAGCTCTAGAAATCATACAGTGTCGTGCTCTCTTATTTGTCAGTGTTTGGTTTTGCAAAGGGACACATTTCTGTTTAGCCAAAGTGAGCAGAGATGCCTCGTACTTCTGCTATGTTTGTGGTGAAGTGACTTTTGCATCACAAAAGCGCAGTATAACCACTATGGTTAAGAAAGCCTCTCACCTTTATTTTGGCTGCAAAATTGGAAACCAGGACAAGAGGTGGGCCCCACACATATGCTGCAACACTTGTGCAACAAATCTTTGCCAGTGGTTGAACAGGAAAAGGAAAGCTATGCCTTTTGCAGTGCCAATGATTTGGAGAGAGCCAACAGATCATACCAGCAGTTGTTACTTCTGCATGGTGCCTCCAGTTGGGAAAGGTGTGTCAAAGAAGAAAAAGTGGACTGTGCATTATCCAAACATTCCATCAGCTATACGCCCAGTACCCCACGGAAAAGGACTGCCGGTTCCTGATGCATCAGAATCATTCTCATTTGAGTCAGATGAGGAAGAGGAAGAGGATGAAACTTCTGGTCCTGAATCATCAATGTCACAGGACCCACATTTTCCCCCATTCTCCTCTTCTGAACCACACCTCATAACACAAGGTGAACTGAATGACCTTGTCAGGGATTTGGAACTACCCAAGAGTAAGGCAGAGCTGTTGGGCTCCAGACTACAGCAGTGGAATCTCCTGGCA